TTTTTTTTAAAGCAGTAAATATGACTGTAAACATTACCCAGTAGTGTAATTTTTCAACAAGACATCCAAGTCATTTGTTGAGTTACTGTTATGTCACCTTTCATGCTCTTTAAGACTTCTGTCAATATAAGACAGTCTGGAATCACCTCAGCGGAACAATGTTCTTTACTGATGAATTACTTAATTGAGTAGAAGTGTATGCAGAGGCTAAACCAAAGAGCCATTCCCTTGGATTTCCTTTACTATGTGGATTACATACAGCAGTAGACATTTTGGATTTAATTTCTTTGAATAGGAAGGATAAAAATCCAATAGACAAGGTGTATGCCCTGTGCCTCTGCTCTGAGAATTGGGTGAGCAGCTGCAATAAGTAGATGTACATAGCATCATTCTTCCAGGATCAATTTCTTAAATAAAAACTAAATTATGTCAATTTATGTTAATCTACTGAACTTCTTTTAACCTGAAGCTGCCATGAAAAACTGCTCAGGAAAAAAAAAAAAAATTTTCTTTTGCTTCCAAATGAACAAACTGGATTTTTAATAGTGATGGCTCTGTAGCCATTTTCACTCTGATACAGCTCATCCAACTCACACATTTCTTGTAACTTCAAGCAGTTTAGACTGTGTTTTCATCTGGTGAGTTAGGGTAATGTTGACAGGAGAAATATACACATGCTGATGAGGCACTGGCTCTCCTAGATGCTAATTTTTTATTATTATTCTGCATAATGATATGTTGGAAGTGTTTAAAAAGGCAGATTATGGTTTGGGTTGGGGTTTTCTCCTTCATTTACAGAAGCATACTTCCAAAGACTGGAAGCTTATGCTTTCTTCAGGGTTGCATACTTGAGACTTTTCATATTGTCTTAAAAAGGACACTATAAACATGTTACATGTGCCTAACAAGCATTACAAAATAATGTTATAAACACATTAGATCACCCCTCAGTGTTTATACTTGTGCCAAATTCCTGAAGGTATGATACTGCAAGAACAAACCACAGCAGACCAAATGCAATCAATTTTACAAGTGTACCTTATGGAATAAATGAGTAAACCATACATGTGTTGAATAGTGTTTGTGTTGCAGATGTTCATTTAGTATCTGTTTGTGCATTCATAGTTACAGGCTTCCCATCTGAACATATCTATTCTAATGAAGCTTTGGCAGCAGCTCCAGTTGCAGTGTCATACGGGTTGGTACTTGCTGTCTGTGTCTAGTGCCTCAAAGAATAACAAACAATATTAAACAAAACCAAACTTCAGTGCTAATGAGCAAGACCTCCCCACTCTGCTCCAGGTGTTTTACTGACATACAAAATCAGGACTAGACAATTGCCTTCTGACTCCCAGATCACGTTCAAATTGTGACTAGACACAACATGAAATTTAGGAGAGTTTAAAATAAAAATAGTAATAAAAAAAATCATCACTAGGTGTATTTGTCACAGTAATTTAGTAGTGCTTCCCCCAGTTTTTTTAACCTGCAACAAGCAATAGAAGCAGTTTGGTCCATTGAAGGATATGGCAATCAATCAATTTCTCTGGCACAGATTGTGCTTTTTAAGGCAAAACCCAGAAACTGATGAGAGATTGCTGTCAATACCTTTCTAGGTGAAGGAATGTCTCTTTAGCAACTGAGTCCCAGGCCAGTAGACTGTAATAACAGATGAAGTAATTCAGACTAGTTAACTGTCAAGCTTAGCTGCACTGCTACAGTCAACAGTACATGAATGCTGCCCAACTGCATGAAATTCAATTGTTTTATCAGCTTCTGTTAAGTTTTTCTTTAGAGTGTATTTGTCCAATTTGTCCAAGGACTCAGGGCTTTGCAGAACAGACAGTATGCAACTGAGCACCATTGGAATGCACAAATTTAATTACAAAAATGTACAGAGTGCATTGTAGTTTCGTTATTTCGCAATTTTGCAATATTTTACCTTGCAATCTCCATATTCTCTTTATGTTTATCTTGCTTTAGAAGAAACATAAACACCTGCAATGATTTCTCATTAGGTAAATTAGTAGTTGAAAATGTGTGTTTCAAGTAAAAGGACTATTTCCCAGTCACTTTGCTTAAAATAAGTTCAACTCTGATTCCTATTTTTTAGCTCTGTTTTCTGCCTAATTTAAGAATAATTCTTTCTCTCTTTTTTTCATCCTTCTTTGGCAGAAGGGCACAGTTTAGTAATTGTTTAACTACTAAACTGTAATAACCAAATTATTTAATGACATAATCACTAAACAGAAATTATTCAATTACTAATGAATTTTTTTCTCCACTTCTCTAAGATTCCAGACTACTCTGTAAGCATCTCAAGACTAAAGATACTAGTTAAAATGAACAGAATATTTTCCAGGATAAACACAGTATTCAAATCTTTAGTGCTTAAGCTCACAAGGATAGGGACACTTCATTCATCCATCTGAAAAAATACCTATATTTGAGAGGGAATTTACATTAAATAGTCTGTGTATTTCTGAATGTAGTTATGGAAGATAGTACAATAAGTTGTGAGAAGTATGGCCTGAAAAAGTTGAGATATAGATAACATGTTTAAGTACTTTCCTATTATTTATCTCCAAAAATCTCCAGAAATATTTTCACATTTTACTAAATGATCACACTTTGGTGGGGTTTTTATGGTCTTTGGTTTTTTGTGGTTTTGGGGTTTTTTTGGTTTTTTTTTTTTTGGTTGGTTTTTTTTTTTTTTTTTTTTTTTTTGGTTGGGTTTTCTTTGTTTTTGTTTTGTGTTGTGTTTGGTTTTGGTTTTTTAACTTTTGGTTGGCTGGATGGTCAGGCCTTTTTGGAGTTTTTAAATTAAGGGAATAATGGACAGAAAACCTGAGAAAAACCCCAAATTCAAACTCAGGAGCATTCTTAGTTATTGGCCAGGGTGAGACTGCACTATAGACAAAAAGGCATGAGAAAACTGCATTATTTTTCATTACATTACGTCACCTTTCATTTCAGAGATTTCCATATGCAAATTCTGAGGCGAGTGAAACCGCAGCTCCTGCAGGTGCCGTGCTCCAGGGCTGTTTTCTCCATCAACTGTCCCTCTATTGCCCAGGTAAGGCTGTGTCCAGCAGTTCTGCCACATCCCACTGAAAGTAATGGCAATGTTTTACTCAATAAAGCTTTAGAAGAGTTGATCATATATTTGACTGATATTTAACCCAGCGGGTAATTGAGAACACAGGTGCACAACGAACCTTCAGTGTGAACAGCATTTAGTATCTGTGCTGCTCCACTGGCTGCAGCAGCACGCTGTGTGCTATATTCTCCGCTGCCTGTATTCGATGTGAACTCCGGGCACAGCTGTCCCCGGCTTTGTTCGCCCACAGGGCTGTGGGGAGTTCCCGCTGCTGGCGCTCGGCTGCCCCGCAGGGAAAGGCCCGCCCGCCGCCCCCGGCTGGCCCGCGGCTCCGCGAGCGGGGCCTGCGCCCGGGGTCGCGCTGAGGGGAACCGTGCTGGGCCCTGGGGCCCGGGACGCGTTTGTGAAGAGCCCGTGCAGTGCTGGCAGCTCCGGGGCAGCTGCAGTTCGAGCTGCAGGCTAAGCCCTGGGCGCGCAGGAGAGCCCCGGCAAGAAGGCATGAACTGCCGACCCTTTGCACAAGAAAGGACTCGGGACCAGCGGCCCGGCCCGGTCTGTGTGTGTGAGGGACACACACAGACGTGACAGGAGCCAACGACCCCAGAGTTTCATACCCTTAGACTGTGAGGGTATAAAAACCCAGGAGGCCCTCCTGAGAGGCACTAAATATACCCTTATTATTTAGTTACGCCCATGATTAAATTATTTTAAGGATCGGGACATCTGAGGCATTGCTATGTGAAACCTGTGCTGGCAAGGAAATCTGGTCTGTGTCAGGTGGGAGGTGCAGCTGCAAAGGGGCTTTGGTCCGAGCTCAAGTGGTGGAAATGTGACAGCTAGAGCGGTTCCTAGGTAGTGGAGCACACAATCTTAGAATGGTTTGGGTTGGAAGGGATCTTAAAGATCATCTAGTTCCAAACTGCCTGCTGTTAGCAGGGACACGTAAAATGAGACCAAGTTGCTCAGAGCCCCATCCAACCTGGCCTTGAATATGTCTAGAGATGGGACAGCCACAATTTCCCTGGGGCAACCTGTTACAGAGCTTCACCACCCTCACGGTAAATAATTTTTTCCTTAATATCCAAACCTACTCTCTTTCAATTTGAACCCATTCCCCCTTGCCCTGTCACTGCATGCTCATGGTAAAGAGTTTGCTCCATCTTTCCCAGAAGTTCCCTTCACCTACTGAAAGGCTGGAATTAGGTTACTATGAAATCTTGTCTTTTCCAGGCTGAACAATCCCAAATCTCAAAAGCTTTTCCTCATAGGAGAGGTCTCTGTACCTCTGATCAATTTGGTGGCCTTCTCTGGACTTGCTCCAACAGGTCCTTCCTGTGCTGGGACCCCAGAAAGAGATCCAGTACTGGAGGTGGAGCCTCACCACAGTGGAGGGGCAGAATCCTCTCCCTCCCATGCTGTCCTTGTTGCTTTGGATACAACCCAGGCCACCTTTGGCTTTCTGGCCTTTAAGAGAGCACTGATGGCTCATGTTAAGTCTTGAGTCCACCAGAACTTCCAAGTCCTTCTTGGCAGGGCTGCTCTCAATCTGTTCAGTCCCCAGCATCTGTTGATACTGGCTGGTTTACCTAACAGCATGGCAGTGGCCCTGTGTGCCCTCACCAAAGCAGAGAGCAAGCAGTGTGAGGCTGGGCCGGGGCTGCTAGGCATGAGGCCTAGCCCACAGCAGCAGTCCTGGTAGCGGGACTGTGAGGCACAGCACATGGCGGTGGTGTCACATCAGGCTGTGAGGCGCAGCACATGGTGGTGATGTTACACCACGCGGGGTTATACCAGGCTGTGAGGCCTAGCACATGGCGGCCGTGCCGTCCCGGGGTGTGAGGCCCAGCACATGGCGCAGGCTCCGCCCCGGCCCGGCCCCGCCCCGATCGCGGGTACCGCGATGTGTCCGACCCGCGGTTCCCGTCAGGCAGCGCGCGGGGCCGTGGCCGCCCCCGCCTCCCGCCCGCGTTCCCTCGGCGGCGGCAGCGGCGGCGCTGAGGTGGCGCCGCGCCCCGGTGAGGTGAGCGAGGCGCTTCAGCCGGCGCTGTCCCATCCCCCGCCGGCCCGGGCGGCAGGGAGTGGCGGTCCCGCCGCGGCCCCTACGGACGCGAAGCACGGTAAGGCCGGCCCGCTCCATGCCCCCGGCGCGCCCTGCCGCGCTCCCTGGGTGGCGGGAGCGGCGCTCGGCGGGGACGGGCGCGGGGGGATTGTCGCCGGCGAGACCGGCGCCATCTTAGGTCGGAGCGTGGACTGGCGTCCCCGAGCGGGGCCCCCGCGCTGTGAGGGCCCCCGCCAGCCGCCCGCGGGCCCCGCTGGCACCGGATGGTTCTGCCCTCGAGGGCGGCCCGGGCAGGGCTCGCTCCGCCCGCGGTTGGCCGCGTGGGGCCCTCCATGGGCCCCGGGCGTTAACAGCAAGAGCGGTGCTGGCGGCGCGGCTCAGCTCGGCCTCCTCCCCGCCGGCCGCTGTTCTGCCATGCGGGCCTCGCCCACATCCGGAGCCCCTGCTCCAGCCGAGTGGCGGCGGTCACCCGGCGCGGGGCGCGGGACGGTCAGGCTGGAGCGGCCGCTGTTCGGCTGCGCTCGGGACTCGGCTGCTCCCGCGGCCTGGTACCACCGCGGCTCGGCGGCGTGAGCTGCTGGCGGGCTGGCACCGCCGATATTGCCCTTCCCTAGGCGGAGCTTGTTCCTTCTCATGGCACAGCGGGCAGCGTTGGCTGCTGAGGTTTGTGTTTGAGGGAACTGGGTTTACGCTTCGGTTTTTTTACGATTTTCAGGTGCAGTTTCAGCTTGATCATTGTTTCTTTACTACTAAACAAATGCAGCCCTCAATTAAAATCCAGTTGTTCCCAGTCCTGGAGGAGCTGTGGATTGTACACCCTTCATCAGCTAATATGGTGGAAAGTTATGTGCCTGTATGGGACCTTATCTGAGAAATTACATCCATTGTGTGATGTGTGTTGTAAATAAGATAACTTCTCTGGGCATTTGAAATGCAACTGTTAAAGTGGGGGAGAAATTATAATTTAGCCGTACAAGGAGTGGCTGAGATCACTTGGTCTGTTCAGCCTAGAGAAGAGGAGACTGAGGAGAGCCCTCATGGCAGTCTTCATGAGGGGAAGAGGAGGGTCAGACACTGATCTCTGTGGTGACCAGTGACAGGAGCCGAGGGAATGGTTTAAATGTGTGAGGGGAGATTTAGGTTAGATACTGGAAAAAGATTCTTCACCCAGAGAGTGGTTGGGCACTGGAAGAGGCTCCTCAGGGAAGTGGTTATTGCAGCAAACCGTACAGTTCCAGAAGAGTTTTGTCAATGCTCACAGGCACGTGGTGGGATTGTTAGGGATGTCATGTGCAGGACTTAGAGATGGACACTGTGATCTTTGTGGAACCCTTCCAACTCAGAATATTCTGTGATTCTATTATGAAAAGGTGACAAGGCTAGTCTGAAAAATTTCTGGTTAGTATAAATGTCCTCACTCTTTTTGCTCACTACCAATTTCATTTTAGTCATTTGATTTTAAGCCAGTCAAAGGAAGTTTTGAGTATTGGAAGGCTCACTTGCGCTTAACAGTGGAACAACATTTCCATTTGAAGTGATAACTGGATTTTCAATAACTCTTAAGTCTTTCTGTGGCTGTATCTACCATGATTTTCTATAGTGCCAATTTCTGTCCATCCTTATGGTGCTCTTCTACAGATCATTCTGCTGTTTTCACTCCAGCTGTTACACTCTTTGATACATTTACTTAAGTTAGATAACTTTTGTTGTTTCTATGCGACTGCTTTTAAATCCTAGCTTTAAAGAAAAACAGGTTATAAATACAGCTGGCTTTTAATAAAGTTTTTTAATATAGTATTTTTAAACCTAATTGCCATGATAAAGATGGCTAAAATAGTGCTTTTAACACAGCTATTTCATCAAAGGCGTATTGCTGTTTAGGGTAATGAGCTCTCATTTTGTAATCTGTCCTGTATCAGGATTTTAGTTCATCACTTTTCAGTAATTATAATAGTGTTCCAGGGACTTAAGTTTTTGCAGGTTGTTGGTTATTTGTGCCTGCCTAATGAATTTCCATAGCTATGCTTAGTTTTAGATGGGCAGTTACTTTTTAAAGCAATATCTTGATATAGTCTGTAATGCTATTTTTAAAGTGTTTTAAAGCACTTGTTCACAATTTTGATGCTTTACCTTACAATACTGGTTTCAACACTTTCTTTGAGTCTATGCATACGGCATTGCATTGGAGTTTTGGACCTCTCAGTTCCATGGACTACCTTTAAGGAAATGTGTATAAACATGAATATATATGCTTATGCACATTAAAAAATGAGGAAGATAAAGTCTATTGTCAGTGGGTTTACTTTTTTTACACTGGTGTCTGCACGACCATTGGGAAATATTTAAGCAGAATGGGGGAAAGATTCACGGTTGGTTTTGTCTTTGAGAGTACTGCTAGTGGGATTCCTAGAATACATTTTGTGTGTTAATGTAGTTAAATAAGCTAAAAATTTGGAAACTGTACTCTAAAAATGGATGTAGATGTTTCCTTTGGCAATGGAGACCACTTGCAGGGGCTGTTCCTGCACATCTCCTCTAATCCAATCAATTACCCCTTACTGCAGTTTTGGTTGCTCAGGCTACAGATTTTTGACCTCTCAATTGTGCTGATAAAACTGTTACTAGGCCAGGTTATTTTTAACCTGCCCTGCTTCACACCATAGTTGTGTGCAAAGTTGGGCTGGCCCAGCTGAGGACGCAGTGCAGGAGCAGGGCAAGAACTCATTAGGCCAGCTTTCTTGCCAGGAAAAAAGAAGTCAGTGAAAGCTTGCCTTCAAATTATAGCATTGAAATTTTAAAAAATTAAGTTAAAAGATGTGAAATTAATCATGATACTTGTCTTTTAAAAGATGCTCTGCATTTTGAGTCACCTTTAAGAGTATCTTAATGTGTATATCCTGATGCATAAAATGAAATATCCATAAGAGGTATCACCAGTTGGTGTCACTTTCTAAAAACCCATAGCTATGTTATCAAATTTCTTTTAACTGTATTTAAGAAAGAAGTTGTCTGTTTTATAGTGTAGGTGAGGTTATCACAGATATCTTGTTAGGATTCTGCTTGTGCCTATTTTTTGTTTTTAGTATAAATTGCATTGCATCCTCTGAGCACATTTTATAATTTATTCCTTTTTTCCCCTCAGGTCAAGTAACACTAAATTCTTAAAATCACAACACTGATCATTTATGTTGTCTGTTCTATAAAAGAAGTCTCTGAAATAGTAATTTATTTTGCCTTAAAGCCTATTAAACTTTGCCTCAGTGTTATAAAAAAAAAAAACCCAGTATTCTAAAGAATGTCCTACAGAGAAGAAAAAGTTACAGTTAGGCTTGATTCTGTTTCCAAGACCTGGCATGTGGCCCATGTAGTCTCTGTCAAGTGGAAATTTAGTTTAGTGTCCTGTTCTCCTCTTTCCTAGCACCATGTCTGACTTCAGCACCCGAAGCTGATGGAGGAAGCAAAGGAGGAGTTCAGCTTTGTATAGTAGGTCTGGCGCTGGCCAAAGGCATAAATCCAGCATAAACAGAGCAGACGGTTGGGGATACAAGCATCATAAAGTCACCCTAGGGCATTTTGCTACTTTATTTCATCTCAGGTCTTAACATGTGGTGACACCAGCAGCCCTGTTCTCATACAAGTAGAGGATGATTGTCTGCTCCCCTGTGATAAGCTGTTACAGACTAATTATTTCTGCAGTCTTATTAGATTGGTACTCCGTGTAAAGAAATAGCAAAACTTCTTACTTAATTTTGTTGTTCAGAAATACGTGTAAGTTTATGTTAAAGAATGTTAAAAGAAAACTTTATTGGCCATCTCTGTTTATTTAAAAAACAAAATCAATTGCGATAAGATATGCTGATGTAAATTTGGTTAATTCCAAAAAGTACATATTTTTCATGACTAGTTTTATACATGACTTTTTTAATGCAAGAAAGCATCTTACAGGCATGAGGGACTCCATCTAATGAGATCTGTGCAAAATTTTTATCATGTCTTAATTGCTAATGGAAGCAGTAAGCAGTGCATTGTAGGTAGGCATGGGGATTTTGCTGTTGTGGAGTTCTTTTGTTTGAAGTGTTTTTTGTGGGTGGTTTGCTTGTTCTTGTTGATATTGTTTTGTGGGTTTTAGGGAATTTTGTGTAGGTTTTGTTGGGGTTTAAAGAAAATGTGACCTTATGGGAAGCCCTGGCAAAATCTTAGAAAATTTGGGAGGCTATGGGTTTGGGTGGGATTTTGTTTTGTTTGTGTTGGGTTTTTTAAGATGCAAAGAGAATAAAGCTGTCATCAGTGTTTCACTAACTCAGTTATGTGCTTTGTAGAAGGCCCTTCATGTTTCTTGTGAGTCACTTAGCTGGAATAGGAGTATTTTTTAAAAGATGCCTTTCACTGTGGTGTCAGAGGCTTCCTCTGATAGTTACTGGTGTTTTATACAAAAATAGCTTAAATTCTTTGGAGGATATCTTTGATCTTCTCTCTTTAATAGCAAGGATGAGCATCCAAGTAATTGTCAGAATGGTGATGTGGTGTCAGTCTTTGAAGATCTCCTGTGTCAGACCATGTTCAGTCTGTAAAGAACATGGAGGGAGGGAGACCATTCTATGGGAATTGATGACAACTGCAGTATTCCTTATTGAACAGTGAAGTATTTCATGAAAGTACTGAATGTTTTCTTGTGTGTGTGTTTTTTGGTTTTACTGTCCAGTCTCGAGATGGCAGAATTATTTATGGAATGTGAAGAAGAGGAGCTAGAACCCTGGCAAAAGAGAGTGAGAGAAGTGGAAGAGGATGATGAGGACGATGATGATGAACCAATCTTTGTAGGGGAAATCTCCAGCTCAAAGCCAGCCACTACATGTAAGACAACACTTTTCCATAATTTAAAACAGCTCTTTCAAGATATAGAAAGCTCAATTTAGTTTGGAAGTGTAGGATTCTTAATAGCATGACTTAAGATATTCCACACCTTAAAACTGTACATCTCTTTCTGAAAATCAGAATTGTTAAGAAATTCTGTCTTAAATCCCAGGTTATGCGCAGCTCTGGTTACTTCTAACCTTAAATCTCTGAGGTCAGAATAAGGACATGTGAAGATTTTAGCATTAGTGACAGAGTTTAAAAGCCAGCATATACAATGTTGAAATCATGCATGCAATTGCTTAAAGTATAGTTAAAATTTAGTTATGTATTTGGGAGTGTCTCCCTCCTAAAAGAATGTGCATGAATTTAAGTCTTCCTGTTACACTTTTTTTTTCTCCCACCCCTCATTTCATATGTTGGTGAACACCATTCTGACAAAACCAAGGTAACTGTCTTCAGTGTCTATAATAAAAGCACAATTTGGAAAGTGACTAATGTGAAAATACTGAAAGCCTGTCTGTGAAGTACAAGATTTTTATTGATAAATTTACCCATCCTTTATGAAATAAAGTTTTTTCATCAAGTTCCTTAGTTTTCTCCTAAGTGCAGGGAGTGAGTGAGGTTAGGTTGTTGTGATGGCAGATGTGTCAGGATTCCATGTTTATCGTATACTTGGGCTTTGGCAGGTAAATAAAGCAGAACTTTTTTTTTGTTGTTATTTTAATTAACTTTAGTAATAATACTTTTTTTTGTGTATCCATCTTGTAGTCAGTTTTTAAGAGCTGTGACCTAAGGTCTCCCTAGCAGTCACATACCTTAAGGCTTTGCCTGGTGAGGTTTACTCCTCACAGTTTGTGCCTTATCTCTACTAATGCTTGTAGCTAAGATTTCCATAGTAGTTTTCTGAAGATGTGTAATTCGCAGTAAAGGATCTCAAGACAAAATGTTACATGAGGCTGTTTGTCACACTCTGCTGCATGGATTTCAGAGATGTTATTAGCTGTTCAGTCATGTTAGTTCACAATACTTTCATCCTGCATCTATTACTTTTTTGCTCACTAGGATAGCAAGTTTAAGGCTTCTTACACAAGGTTAAAAAAAAACTGATTTCAAGTATGAGAAGAATACAGAATCTGCTATTTAAGTACTCTCACCAGAAAATTTTTTTTTAAGAGTGAATATTTAAAAAATACTCTGGATACTCTGAAAAATCTGAAGAATATTTAAAAGTTATTCCTAAGTTTTCTGCAGCTACAGACATATGGAATGTCTGAAAAATACCCTGTTTTCTGGAGGTCCAGAGACCTCTGGATTGCTGTTGGCCATTGGCAGTAGGTCGTGGCATACAACAACTATTGAGGCACTAGCATGTGTTGGAACAATAAACACGCAAGTTTGATTGCAGTTTTTGTAGCCTCCAAGTTTTTTTGTAGTGACAGGATAGAAATAATTCAGGTGAAAACTATGATTTTGGTATGATTCTGTGAACTTCAAGAATTTTGGTGAAAGATAGAGACTTAAAATGTTTGCTTCTTATTCTGGTGCTGTCCATACTCCGTCCTGACACAAGTAAAATCACTTACGGTATAACTTGTTACTTTATCTTTTTTCCTTCCTTTTCCTCAACTTTTCTCTTTTTAATCTTATACTTCACTATCAAAAACAGCTATGGAAGAATGACCTCAGTTCTTCTCTGGCTTGTAAGTAGTACTACCTGGCAGTAGTCAGGCTTCAGTTTGTTATTGGTGATAGGCAAGATAACGGTGAGCTCAGCTTTGCTTATCACTGTTTAGTTTGCGCCTGATCAGATGAAAAATGGATGACAAATAGAAGCTCACATATAGGTCTTAATTTTTCTGAAAGATGTACTTTCTACAATGCATTGCATTTTCTTAGCCTTTTCCTGACAGTACAGTTACTAGTTTTTGTACAGACTGTGTGGAAAACTTGAAGGAAATAGTAAATACCCCACTGTTGACCTGCTGTCAGAGAGCTGTGTAGTATCAAGTGTCCCTTCTGATGTACTGGAGGATTGTTTTGGCTGAGATGAAAAGTAATTCACACTTTACCTTTTTCTGCAACTGCTCATTTTTCCTACAGTTACCGCTTGTTGTTCTTGCTTCCTGTTTCATAATGATACAAACCTGTAATTTATTACTGTTTTAAAATGTTACTCTGCATGTCTGCATGCTTGTGCTTCAGGGCCGTTTTACCTAAAGGGGGCAAGTAACAGGGCAAGTAATTCTTTGATGGAAGAGGGGAAAGTGTGCATCAAGTCTGTGATGAATCAGTTGAGTCATGTAAATGTAGTTTATAATTTCAATTAACTGGCTTTCTGAAATGTTCTTTTTAAAAACAATAAAATCTACCTTTGTAATTTAGAATGTGGGCACATCAGATGTCTTGACTATGCTTTGTAAGACATAACTTTTATAAAAGTTCTTCTTTTGTAAATAGATGATGCTTTAGTTTAATTTCACTCTGGAATTCATGTGTGAGGTATAGATTTGTTAACACTCACAAAATGTATGTATTCAGCTAAATACCAAACTAATTTAATCCTGGTTTGTAGTAACTGTTATGTTGAAGTAAAAATAGTATTACTATTACAGGACCAAATGTCATCATACCTTAAAAAATGCAAACCTGTTTGAATATGTTGGTTGCAGCTGCTTTTTTTAGTGTGATTTAAATGCAGGTGGCAGGTTGAAAGCTGTGGTGTTATGAGCTCTACTGGTATTTGATGTATTTATCAACTGGTGAAGTGTATACTAATGAGCCATTGTTGGTGGAAATAGCCTTAAGCTTATTAAACACAATGTGTAGATACTCTGAGATCTGCTGTCTGAGAACTTGATGTCATTTGACCCTGGTTTGAGAAGTTACTTCAAGCCTTCTGGGTTAGATGTTAGGAGAACCAATCTAATTTCGTATGCATATTTTCACAGGTCAGAGCAAGCAACTTGTCAGCGACACTAATGGAACTGAGAATCTGGGAGTAGAAGAGTATTTTGATTCGATGAATATTTTTGAAACTTTCTGAAATTGTCAGAAATCCCAGACTGAGACATAAAAGGTCGAGGAATATGAGTGGCATTAGTTAGGGAGCAAATGTAATTTAAGAAATTCCGTGTGCTCCTGCTGAGCTAGAACTCAGGACACAGATTACCATGTAGGATATGTAAGAAAATCAGTGCTCTTGTAATGCAATTCTAATACAGCTCCTTTGGTTGCTGATCTGTTGATTTTCCTTTCACGTTGGAAAACTGATATCATGAAGTCTAAAATCCAGTTTGTAAGTGCTGTGTTTTGCTAATACAGAGGCAAAATATATCATTATTGATTTAGAGAAAATGTTTCCTTTAATGTAGGGCAGTTCTAGTATTTGGGAAACATTATGTGTATGTGAGAAAGAGATGTAAATTAATGCGCTGTAATCAGCAAATTGAAATGTTAATGCCATGTCCTTTTTTTGTTATTGTTTGTGTTCTTCCTATGTGTTAACCTGTCTCCAAGAGAATAAACATTAAGATTGTTAAGTGAACTAGCTTAACCAAAGAGGAGTGGAAGAACATATCATAATTTGTACAAATGACACTTGGTTTTGCCAGGTTTTTGTTTTAGAAATAATATTTTAATTTATAAGCCAAATCCTAATTGGCATAATTAGTGTATATAAATGCAGCTTTTAAATTTCAAAAGCATTGAAGTTATTAATTTATTTGCAATTAAGATAAATGTAACTTTTGACAGATATATTGAACAGAGTCAACCTCAGCTCACCACGAAGGGGGATACAGAATGGTGCACCCAGTAGAGGTACTTTATTGTCTTAATATGGTAATTACAAAAAAAATCCACAACACTTATGAAACATTTGACTGCAAAATTACATAAAGATAACTTTGGAATCCTTTGCAACAGGTCCAGTCACTACATTCACGTCTGAGAGTCAGCATTACGTGACGCCTGCCTCCAGCCCTGGTGCCCTGCCTGCCCCATCAGTCTTTCAGCCTGTGCCCAGACCTGCGACCAGCTCGGTGGCAGTTCAGCCATTGGCTGTAGCAGTGAATGTTTCAGGAGCTACACAAACACTGCAGAGACCAGTTGCTGGATGTTTGTCGACACAGCAAGTGCCTGGGTCAAGTTCTGGAATAGCACAGCCTGTTAGCAGACCTGTAACAATTCCAGTGACAACACAGCCAGTGTCAAGAAATATTACAGTTCCTGTAGTGGCTCAACCTGTATCCAGGCCAGAGACTCCTGCAACAGCACAGCCTGTAATACTCAATCAGGTAAATCTTTATTAATTTAAAATGTAAAAGGTATGGTTACTTTTGAATAAATTGATGAAGAACATACTGACTCAGTCTAGTCTATTATAAAGATCTGGACTAGATTATAAACTAGCATTGTCTAAGCTGTAAGCATTCTAGGACCATAACCTTGCACTGATAAATTAAAATATATATTTGGAAATACTGATTTGCAAGATTGAAAGATTATAGCTTTAGTAAGAGTAAAATAGCATTAAATGAAAATCCCAGACACTAGAGAAATTAGTACTGTTTAGATTCTTTATGTTCTGAGGAGAAATGTTGCAAATTCATTCTCTAAATTTTGCATATTTCTGTGCTCAGAGATGAATCTTCTGCACTGATAACTTAATTTCATTTTTAAATAGCTTGCATTTAGTGTGTAAAGCAACTTTGTGGGTTTTCCACCTGTTTTTGCAGTGCCTTGCCTTGGGATTATTGATTCTTAAGAGAATGCTGTAGTAGTAGTTCCTTAGTGGGTTTTGCTTTTCATTCGTGTGGCACAAGAGTGAAAGCATTGTGGAACAATAGTATGGCAAGAGGTGTAAGCAACCAAAAGTTGCATTATCAGCAGGTGAAGCAATTTTGCAACATATTGGTTTTGCTTCAAATGCCTAAGGGAATTGTGCACATAGGTCATGTGTTTTAGACTTTCCTGGGTTGCCACAGAACCCCAAAATGTTGCCACGAGAGAGTTGAGTTAGATGCTGTTTTGTTGCCTTATCTGGTTGATGCTTTGTGTGAGGGTGCCAGGATGAGGGAAGAGATGAGAATCTTGACTCCATGTTTCAGAAGGCTAATTTATTATATTATTATATATATTAAAATGATAGACTAAAACTATACTAAAAAGAGTAGAGAGAAAAGGATTCATCAGAAGGCTAGAAAGAACAAGAATGGAATGAATAACAAAGGCTCCTGGCTCCCAGAGAGTCCGAGCCAGCTGACTGTGATTGGCCATTAATTAGAAACAGCCAACATGCACCAATCACAGATGCACCTGTTGCATTCCACAGCAGCAGATAGTTATTGTTTACATTTCTTTCCTGAGGCTCCTCAGCTTCTCAGGAGAAAAAATCCTAGCAAAGGATTTTTCATAAAATATGGCTACAGGATGTATGTGGGAGAGAAAGAATGAGGATTAAATTCCATATTTGTATGAGGTAAACTATGATGCAGTACCTTCACTGAAAATAATTTACGCTGAAACTGTTTAGACCACGTACCTGTAATATTAGTTACTTTTGTCAGGTCACAGTGAAGCCTGACAGTGTGCACCATCTCCATTGTCCATCCAAATACTCTTACCTGAGGTTGTTTCAATTGTTAGTCTTTTGGTGTAAATAAAAATCATGCAGCTTAATGGATTCTGCATTTGCTGAGCAGGGCAAGCAGTGTGAATGAGCAGAGTTAATTAGGCCATTAGGACATGAGGATTGGAATTGGGCCTTCTTAAGACTTGTGGCTAAATAATTACTGATGAAAGGCAGCATTTTAAGAAAAACAGCTAAAACAAAGCAATGTGATCATTGCCTGTCAACTGGCTAGCTGAATCTTCAGCAAATTCAGCAGGAAAAATACTAATACTTTTCCATTTTGAGTCTTCAGCAGTTGATTGATAGTTTGCAGAGAGAAATTGTGCATCTGTCTGGTGAAGTGGGTTAGCTAAATAAGTCTGTCACTGTTAAGAAGGCCTAAGAAATTATATCATTAAAAGCCCAGATATCAGTAGGAGATCTAGGTTGCTTCTTTACTCATCTTAAATCTTTCTTTATGAAGCAGGACAGATTAGAACAGAAAGGTTTGGTACTTCAGATGGTGTACACACATATTACAAGTCTGTGAAGTTTTCTGCAAGTTTACTCATGACATAGTATGCTTTATGAAATCAAGGTGTGCTAATATGTCCTGCAGAATCTTTATTGCAGAAGAAAGCCCTCTCCTTTTCTTCCCTCACACACACATGCTCATGTTTTTGTTCCAACAGATAAAGCTGGTAGGGGCTTCTACAGTGTTTTTATGACACAACCCCAGAGTAAACAGAGCTAGAAAAGCTGAACTATTCCACAGACTATACGTAAGCTGGATGTAACTCACCAAGACAGTGATTTCCTTTAAAGAGAGCCTGGAGAGTGTACTTCTTTTTGTGAACTTCTTTCTCATTCATTGAGTTGATTTATGTTACTGATGAGGCTTTAGTGAAGTATTTATAGTGCTACTTTGTCAAAATCTGCAGGTTGCTTTTCCATGGCAGAGTAGAGAAACAGCTATTTGAAGAAGCTGCAGCCATAGGGCATGGAAAAAGTTCTCTCACTATGCATTAAATAGTTCTGTCTATTCTAGGTTAGACTTACATGCTTTAGAAAGCAATGCATCCTTATCTAGGATTTCCAGAGCAGATTTAGTGGTCTCTTAAAGGTTCTGCTGTTTGTTGAAGTTATGGTCTTAGATGGTTTCTTTACAGTGATAACATTTTGATCATGGTTTTCATGAGCCCTTAATTTTTTTAAGGTGTCTTAAATGTAACATCTTTGGATGTTAAGAAATTCTTGAGTACCTTGAAGAAGAGTTTTCTGTTTGTGTTTTTTTTCCTTGCTTGAAACATGGTGAATCTTCCATCTCTTCAACTTAACTCATCTAGATTCAGAACTGTATTTTCAGTTTCAGAATTATCTAGAATTTGTTTCCTTGTTTGTTGTTATTGTTATTACTCCTTGATGGTGTTACACTTTTTATGGAGGAAGAAACTTGTCTGATGTGCCTTTTTTTTAGAGGTACTATAATTTAGTGTCTTGGGCAAAGTTCTGTGATTCTTAATCCTGCCACATGATGTCATTTCCTGTTGTTAATGTTATATTTGAACTACCTGTATTTTGGCCCATGTCTTTAGTTTGAATTTTCTTCATTCAAGAGCTCCTTAGGGTTTTTGGATCCCTCAGCTGCTGCCCATCTAGTGTATATTTCACTGGGGGATGCTGTTTTATAGTGATGATTTTCTGCCTTGGGCTTTCTGTGACATTTTTGTTTACACATGTTCTGTTTCTTCCCAACTTGATTCTTTCTAAGTGGCAAAAGCTTCAAATAAATTTTTCTGGAAAGTGTTTGACAAATGGATCTTCAGCTTCCAGGTGTTGAAAGTTGCCTTTGAAAATACCATGTTGAGAAGATCACTGTGATACGGTATAACTAGACACTAATAGGACCCCTTTTTAGCTGAACATCTTTCAGAGTGCTTTTGCATTCAAAATACAGTGCAATATTTTTTAATTTCAGGATGTCAAAAGATTTTTTTTCTGTGGGAACTGGTTGCTTTTGATCGCCTACTGGGTTGAAACACATATATCCTGTTTCTCAACAGGTCTGTAGTTTGCCTCTTGTCAATGTTTCGTATTCCAGTTTTATCATTGAAATACCCCTTTCTGATAGAAAATTTCGATAGCCAAACTGAATTTCATTTTTATATCTTTTGTTTTAAAGAAAGCAAGCAGGCAGTGCTGGGTGGCCGGGGAGTCACTGCTCCACTCGTGGCACACACCATTTACAAGTTCAGCAAAGTATATATACTGGTTTCAAGCCTACAAGGCATTTTCCAGTGTGCTTGTGTTAGTCCAAATCAGCAAATATCAATAAGCTGGGATCAGCAATTTCCTCATCTTTCCAGGTGGTCGTTGGCTTCCTGTCTTCTTGTGCTGTCTGGAGGAAGGCCCTTCACCAGTGTCTGCTAAATAATTTTAGTCTGGTACAAGTGCATCAAGCTTTTTATTATACATAAGCATTTAATTGCTTTGTTGCAATATCCCTTAGCTTTACCACAACTTCCTCTATTTTATTCTAAGCATCAGTCATTTTGCTGCCTCATCTCTTTACTATACTTCTATTTTCTTGTTCCATGCTTTATTTGGCTGTTCAGTCAGAAAGTTCCAAAACTCTTTGTGGTTATCCCAGGGAATGCGTCCACTCTCAACACAGCGGATACAAGCATTTGCTGATTCCATTGCCGATTGACACGGATCACAAAAACATTTCTCACATTTCCAATCATGAGCTTGATTTGCTGACTTCCTAAGTAAGACAGTCTGGTTTTTGTGTTGTTACTGTACTACATGCTGTGTACTACTAACTGCTGTGCAATTCCAGAAGTTCAGAGCTGATTTTTATTTCAGTCATACAGTTTGCAGCAGTTTTAATTCAGGCAGAGCTACTGTTGCATTTCATAGCATAGAACTATCCTTTTCTTAAAGAAAAATTTGTTCTTAGCAGTGATGATGTTCTGTAATTCAGTGCTCAGAATGCTCTCCACTAAGCCAGAACCAATTCTGTCTTTCCCTTACTTACTAGGCACTTTTCTCAGTCAGTGTGACTCAGGTTCTGGTTGTTCCTAGGTCATTTTGAGAGAACAAAGGTTCAGTATGATACATTTTAATTTTTCAGGGTGGGTTTAGTTACCAATTGCCATATAGGCTTCCACAGTTGAAAATCTAGGATGCAGATTATGAACCCAATATTGTCACTAGTAGTAGTGACAAACAGTAGTAGTATTTAGTAGTAGTAGACACCACTACTAAAAGTAGTGGTGTAATGCTTCTCTTCACTTGAGCCCTTACAAAGATGTATTATTTTTCCTTTCTGCATGTGAGAGCACCTATACATGTCAGTTCGATTTTTTTGTTGTTGTTGTTTTTTGTTTTGTTTTTGTTTTGTTTCACCAATGTGGTAAAGCTGTTTTGTTTTGGTTTTTTTATACATTTTTGTTTTCTAAAGCATTGGACAACATTCGGTGATTTGTATGTGAAAAATGACAGAGCCAAGTTATGTTAAAATAATACCTGTTAGCAGAAAAGGACTTCTGAAAATTAGGCAATGAAATTATCAGTGTGTCTGTTTTTATGGGTTTTTTTGCTTGCTGGATATGTTTAGTATATACTGGGGGGATGTATCCATGCCATCAAAATACCCAAACTATGATCTTGTTGAAAATTAAAATATTGGCAGGACATAAAAACATAGAAACTACAGACTAGTAAGAGATGCAGTGTTTGCATGTAGCTGTTGTGTTGGTCACATTTCAAATGTAAATGGAGTGCATAGGGCTCTGCACTCAGAGCCTGTCACAGGTTTATCCCCTGAGCATTAGTTGTTCTTGAGGCGTGGCCTGAAGGCTGAGGTGCTTTGCTGTCCTTTCACTGGCTCTTCTGAAACTTTTGTGACTCCAGTAACGCCTGCCCTATTGTGACTGCAGCTTATGTGGCTGTAACTTTTAGCAAATACAGCACAGAAATTCAGTAACTATTTCCACAGCTACTCCTGAACATCTGTCTTTAATTTGGTTAGAGTGGATTAGGTCACTCACCAGAAGAATGAGTGGCTCTTTATTAAGGTCCTGAAGGGCCTTCATTTAAGGAGATGTACAATAAAAAGGCAGGATGGGGAGCAGGTATTTAGGAGTCCTAAACCAGATTATCATACCTGTTTATGTACTTGTGCTTCTTTAGATTTCTTTCCATTAAGTTTGGTTTGCATGGTAGTAGTTAAAGATGTGATAACTTGTACAAGGATGTTTTCAGATAAGTAGCACAGTTGTGAATGGGAAGCAGTTTATGAGCTTGGTGGTTTTTTGGTTTTTTTTCGGCAAATGTATTTTGGCGTTTGTCTCATGGATTTGCTGATGACAAGGTCTCTGTGTGTTGGATGGTTTTTAAAATTTATTTTTTATTTTAGGGAGATAACCCTACTTTTGTCAGTTTTTTGTTTCGCAATACAGCATGATGAAGTGTAACAATTTGTATTATTTCACAGTTAAATTGCCAATACTTTTCCATTTCTACCTTACTGTTGCTTTATGAAGCTTCTACTTGCTACAAGTTTGTACTGCTTTTGAGTTCTGGTTTTTGATCTTTTGAAATGCAGCAAGATGTTATGCAGGAGTAGCAGGCAAATGCCCGAGTTTAGGTTGAAGGAAAAAGTATTTGGTTTTTTTGAAAAATAATCAAGTATAATTTGAAACATCATCAGACTTTTTGGAGCAAAAGCCTTTACAATTAGCTGTTGAAACAGATTAGTGTTGTTTCATTAAATGGTCTTTCCCAGGTCTTATGATTGTTTTTACTATTCTGAATACATAGCTATAAAAACTAACAAGCACTGATGAGAATTGCAGCCTTATTAAAATGTCAAAAGAAATTATTTTGGGGAGATTGTAATGAACTTGATTTTCAACTGAGTATTTTCTTTAAGCAATCTTATGTTTTTAAAATAAACCCTTTGAAGCCTGCAAGTAAAAAAAAAAAAAATTAAATCTCAAATTTCTTTCCCCTCTTGAAAATATCAGGATTATATTATGGATTCTCCACCAGATGCACCAGATAATACATCTGGTATACTGTTTGGTGTGAGGCAGAACTCGGGAGTTCCACAGTACCAGACTGGGCCAGCAGTGAATGTAACAGGTGGGTATAACTGTAGTAGTTGATAAGAGAAACCAAGCTAATGTCATTTAACTCTAGTGCAGATCTGTGGGTTATAACTTTAAATAGGATTTCTAGAACATAGTATAGCTACTTTTTTCTTCCCCTCTACATAACACTGTATAACGTCTAATGAAAGAAACTTTGGAGTCTTGTGTTGTCAGACTTTGCTTTTCAGTGCCTTAGACTGACTGTAAAATCAACTGATGTCTTCCTGTAATGCTCATTTAGATGGGAAAAAGCATTTGCCAGATCCACTGTATCTTTATTGACAGGTGAAGGTTTGTTTTCAGTACACTAATCACTCTTTGGCCCGTGGGAATAGGAAAAGACTGTTAGCAAAAGAGGGGCTGTGAATAGTACCTGAAGAACTGAGTCTGCTGGATGGATTCCCTGTAATGATGATCTTGGCTTTCTGACTGCTATATGCAGGAGTTGGAGTAGATGGGATCAAAAGGATCATTCCTGAAAAGGAGGGGATGGGAGAGAGTGTGTAATTTGACAACAAAAGCCTTTTTTTTTCAACTAGCTTTTCAGCAGTAAGTATTTAATCTATTTAAAATGAAGCCAAAAAGCACCTTTTTTGTATGTGTGTGTCACAGCAGATAAAGTAGATTTGAAGCATGCAGTGTACTCAGTCTTCAGAAGGCTACAACTTGGGATTTTCCTCCTCCTTTTTGAAGGATTGTACTTTTGTGATAACTGACCAGAATCCCATTAGTCTGTGTGTAAGTTATGGGTGACAATGACTTCTGATTCTTCCCTGAGGTAACAGGTTAAGTACAGTGAATGGCCTGACTGGTCATGTTAAGAAGTTACGTAGGATAGAGGGATAGCTAGTTTGCTCAGCTTCACATGATGATTTTGCATTTTTAGTTCAGGTATTCACTCCAGAAATATATCAGTGAAGGGTTAGCAGTGTATTATCTTGCTTGTGTCCAGCAATTCTGTTGTCGTCATTCTTGTCTTGGGTTAAATAGCTTTTTGTCAAATAAGAAAATGGTTTGTTTTTTGCAAATGGTTCAGTATTCCAGCCCTTGTTGTCCAAAGGACAGGTATTAGAGTTTAATTGCTTGTGGGTTTGGTTTTTTGTACTTTGGAGACTTGGTTGCATACTTAAAAATCACTTGTATTTGTCTCTCACTGAGAAAACATAAAATGCTTTAAAGCACTGAGGTGTGCAATTGAAAGCATTTTAAATGTGCCATACTTAGTCTATGTTTATTTCTGTATGATGACAGTAGGCTTTGAACGTTAAAATAAAAGTTTTATTATTGCAGCTTGAAACATTAATATTTTGGACACACAAGGCTAATATAAGATACATTTCACTTTGCAGAAAGGAAGTGTCTGTGTATTGTGTGATTTGGCTTCCTTGGTAATGGCCATGTAATGAGATTAAATTCATGTTCATGTATGCCAAAGCCTGTGTTGGTGCTATGCTTCTCTAATTCATATACAGCACTCTGGGCACAAGACATTCTGGAATATGGTATTTAAAAGCAGAATCCTTTTGGGAACTGGCCTTTGATGCTCTGCAGGACAGTATAACTTATGCAAGTGGATCATGAGAGACATTTTTTATGTCTTTCATGATCCACTGAGCTCAGTATAGCATAAATATTTATTTCTGAGGTCTAAGCAGGGAAATGGCAGGTTGCTAATGGACACTAGCCAAGTATATTCTTAGGCTGCTAAATAGGTGGTGGTGTTTGGGTAAATGGCATTGGTAACTCTTGCATGCAGGTTGGATGGCACTGGGGATGTGTGTAAAATGTAGCTTGCTTTCTGAGAGGCCTGAAGCAATTTTCCTTTCATGTGCCTATTCTGGTATCACAGTAGATTTGGTGCTTTTACTCTAGGTTAAACTGTTATGTCTTTTTCCATCATTTATAAAATCAGACCCAGCCAGCACAGATGCACAGAGCAGCATTAAGGTGTTTACAGTGGTATTGTGGGTTCAGAAACTCATTAGTAAGGTGGTGCTGCAGCCAGTATACTTTGCTCCTTCCTTGCCATCATGGCACAGGAATATTGTGTGTATGAGCACAGCCGGCTCCTGGGTAATTGCTACAGAAGTGTTCACTAATAGCACCAAATGACCAAAGTGACCAAAAAATAATTTGGCTACTGCTTTTCCCTGCTGTCCTGAGTACCTGGAGTCCCTGTGACCTGCTGTGTCAAGAATTGGACAAACTAGTCTGGAATGTGGTTAATTCAAGGAATTCTTGTGTCCACACTCCAGCTGAGAGAGGAACTTTTATGATAAGAGATGTCAATCTGATTTATACCAGCAAGTCATTAAATAATACTTGGAGTTGGTGATTAGTTTTCAAAATAGGCCTAATTTTTTTTGACATGAACAAACAACAGAACTAAAATGCAAACCTGTGTATTATAGTTCTTCTGAAAGAGAATTTACTAGTCAGAGTTGTATAGACTAAGACTACTCACCTTTAAAAATATATAAAAGTCTTGAAAATTTTTATCACAGAAGTGTTAAGCTTTTAAAATTGGAATTATGAAAAGTATTTTTAACATATGAAAATAGTCCTTGTTTCCAAATAGGTGTTTCTGCAGTCAAATAAAATACTTCATTGAAGATCCTTGTAAACTCAGTCAGACCTTGTGTCTTTTCCTTAGCCTTCATTGCAGAGCTACACATAGTTTAATTCACAGCGGCACCAGTTCCTGCTGTAGGTTGATGGTTAGATGCTCAAATGGCCTCAAGTGATGCAGATGAATGCTAAGGTCATGCCAGTTTTGTGGAAGCCTTTGCTGAACAGGACGTATGTCCATGTAAGCAGCTCATATACTGAACACAGTGAGTGTAAGTAAATTAAACCACGTAGGAAGTAGTAGCATCAAATTAATAATGTGATCATTTTTGTGAATGTGTGAATGAATGAACCTTAAGGCAAATAACACATAGAGCAAGACCTTTGAGCTTAATATGTTTATTTATGTCAAAAAGAAGGAAAGGTGTACTACAGAGGAGAATGTTAGGATGTTTCGGTCTCTATATATCAAGTGAATTATGTTTTCCCATAAAAACATTCTTTTTTGTGTCCAGAACATTGACATATTTTATTATAGTCTTAAGACTATTTGCAGTCTGTCATTGTGAGAGGTTTACAAGACGTGCTGGCGCTTTAGACTTCTTGGTTTGTAGCTTTGTCTTTCAGGTCTACTTGAGGACTGATCTCTGTATTTAGTTCATATCATCAAGGGTAATCTTACAGTGACAGAAACATGGGTTTCTGACCAGATGGAGCTGAGTGTTTATGGGCATGTTAATCAGCCACCGAACCGCCCAGTTTCCAAGTTGTTGGTGGATTTTTTTTTTTGTGGGGCGTTTAGGGGTTTTTTTTGGTGGGGTTTTTTGGTTCAGTTTTTTATGGATTTGTTAGGTTTTGTTTTATTTGTTGTTGTTGTTGGTTTTGTTTTGGTTTTTTTGTTTGTGTTTTTTTTGTTTGTTTTTTTCTTTTGTTGTGGGTTTTTCTGTTTTATTGTGTTTTTTGGGGTTTTTTGGTTTGCTTGTTTTTACTGATTTTCTTCTGAAGAAATACTGCAAACCATAAGGACATGTAATGTTCTTTCAGAAGAAGAGAGCAGATAGATGTGCTGTGCTTGGTCATTGGAAGTTACAACACTTTTTTCATTTTGCATGCAAACTGAAGTTTACAGAGTTATGTAAGAAACTAAAACAGCATTAATGCAGAACCAGAAAAAAGGAGAGGTGTTTTTCATCAGAGGTGCAGAACTTGTTCCAGATAGCGGGCATTGCAGAAACCAGCTGCTTAGCTTAACTTTATTACTGTGAACTCACCTTGTCTCAGATTGGAGTGGGTCAAATGTGAAAAGTAGGTCAAATGTATTCAGGTGGCCACAGTATGATTTACTGGGGTTTCAGAGGTGGGTCTGTATCTCTTGTGTTTACCCTTTCCTGCTTCACTGGCCTGGACCTTCAGTCTGTGTTGGATATTTTCTTTACTTCAATATGGCGTATTAGTTTAGGAAAATATGTAAACTGCTTTGTTTGGACTCTAAATTGCAATCATCATTAATGTGTTCTAATTACTATGGGGAAAATACTGAGGTTCTTTAATTTACAGTACTGTAGGTCTGAATGACAGTGGTTTTGTATCTAAACTACCTGCTACTTCTGAAGGCAACAGTATAGCTCCAAAACAGGCCAAGCTTACTGAGGTCAATGCTAGAAGCAACTTGGGTGTTTCACCTATAGTTAACTGTCCAACAGTTGCACAGGTACAAAATGGATCTTCAAACAGTAGGGAGATGGAATGGTCTAGCTGGCAGTCCTGCCTCCGTGTCATGGAAAAAGCTAACACATCTGTAGTGTTTCAGTTGTTTTTAATGCTCTTAAGGCAGTGTAAGTAAGTAACAGTAAGTAATGTTCTTATGCTGTAAAATAAAAATAGCTACTCTATGCAAGAATTTGTATACCTTTACAAATTAATTTACCTGAGGTTATTACCTATTCAAATTTTAGACCTTTATTGTTTAGTAGGTAGGTTTGAATTCTGTAGAGCAGTAATTAGTCATTTGAAGACAGATGATAAAAATAAATGCCCCTGACCTCATTCTTTTTGTTCAGATTTTCTATGGTCAAAGAAGGGAGTAGGGGGTTGAAACTTCAAAACACAATCAACCAGAAAATCAAGATTGTAAGAATTCTTGACTTAATTCTATGACTGCTGAATTTATGAACAAATTCTGATTAGATGAAGGAAAAAATCATTTTAGCAATGCCAGGCAAGGCAGTAACAAATTAGATTGTGGAATCCCCAACCTTGGAGATACTCAGAAGTTGACTGAACTCTCATGCTCTGAGCATAAGATTAGACTTGCTTTGACTGGGAAGTTGCAGAAAACCACCTCCAAAGGTCCAAGCAAAATTATTTTGTGATTCTGTACTTTGACTAATTATTGCAAAGTGTGTTTTCCAGTTGTGCCCCTGGTTTTTTTTTGGGTTTTTTTTTTTTTTTTTCCAGCAGTGTTTCTGATATATTTTGAAATAGTAGTGGGAAGGGAGAAGGTCTATTTCAAAGAAACAATGTTGTTGGAAAGATTTTGCCTTCCCTGCAAGAAGAGAGCTGGTCTGGCTGTTTCAGAGTATTAATTATTAGGTGCATTTTTGTCCTGAGCCAAAAGGTGTATTCTAGTAATTGCAATAGGCCAGGATTTATTCTTGACTTTTGAGACATTTCCAAGACATCCTGTGTCCTATAATGTTAAAATGATTGTTTGGAATAATTTCAGATTTGGGTTTTTTGCATTTCTTATTTAGAGCTTGTTTGCTCTTCCCAGCTACGAGAAGGACGTGGCTATAACAGGAACATTTCAGCAAAAAAAATTTTCTCCACCCTCTTTCAGGTGAAATAGATATTGTGCTGTAGCCTGTAATAAAAGAAGATAACTGAAGGATCTTGCTAAATTCAGTAAAAAAATAAGTAGATCATATTCGCTGAGAACCTTATTTTGCCGAGTTTGTATCTAAGCCATCGCATGCTGGCATAGCAATTTCTAATCTGTCACAGAATCCAGCACTGAAGCACTGCAGAACACAAGGTTTTGCTGCAGAACTGGCTCTCTTCAACTCAGTTTGCACTTAGCTGTGATGTGTCAAAATGTTTTACCAGCTGTAATAGTGAGGATTTGCAGCACTGTTTTGTGGTACATCTTTTACATGGCCATCCACTCATGAAAGACTTTCTGCTTAATAATGATTCTTAGCAAAACTGTTATCTTAAGGAAAATTACTGTTTATTTGTGGTCTAGGCAGGACTATTTTTATGTAAAAATGTAAAACACTATTGCATGTTCATCTCTTAAGTCATACACCTATTCATTCCCTTGTATTTGTTTTTGTTTTTATACATCTTTTCCTAGTCCTGGCAGGGAACAGTTGTCTCTCCTGTTGAGATGTTGTTTCCTGTGTTTAACTTCTAAACTACTTACTTAGTATGGAGTCCTCCAAATCTGTGAATGACTTGAGAATGCAAGAGAATTTCATCTGGAAAACTAGCTCTTGCTCTGATGTCTTTTGACAGTTTGGAGAAAATTCAAAGCTTAGTTTATCATTAAAGTTTAAACTAATGAAAAGCTTTAATATCTCTTTTGCTCAAAAGGTATTAATCACTTATGTTGATAAGAGAAGTGTTATTTCCTTTAATTACTGGGAGTAATTATTAATTTAGAGGATTTATTCTCTAGGTTCTCCAAAGACACCTTTGCTTAACAGAAATAATGCATTTGAATAAGCCAAGATTCCAACAAATATCCAGAGAGAAATAGCCTCATCATTGAGAACCAAATGGTGAAGTTCCTTTCCAAACCAATAGGATTTTGTCTGAACCCTATTGTGATGATGATCAGGTTGTGGCAGAAAACAGGCTTTACATGTTCATTTGAAAAGTTTGTGAAACTAAAACATCAAAAATCCATCCTATCCAGCATGGGGTGGGCTGGTAGTGCACAGAAGAAATGCTTTCTTCCTATCAAGCTGCCTTCATCTCCTCATGTGTTTTTTCCTTGTTTGTTGGTAAGATTTTGTAAAATCTGTTTATTGGTCTATGTCAAGCAGAGCAAACTCCAAGTCAGTTTGGGAAAAAGGAAGAATAGTTAAAAGATGTTTGTAAAGCCTTGCTTATGGTTACTACAGCTTCATTGATGGTAATAGTTTTTATTTGAAGTAACATATTTCACTAGAATACTGTCACTGCTACTAAATTGAGTATTTTGCTTGTGAATTCTGAGTCTTTATATGTTTTAAATTTTACAGGAACAAATGCTGCATCCAGCACCATTAAAAATGGAGGACCTTTTCCACGAGCTTGTCCAAAATGTAATATACATTTCAATCTTATGGATCCTCTAAAAAATCATATGAAGGTAAAATATTTTGGGAAATAATTGGGGAAAATAAAAAAATGTTCGAAGCATTAGAAGAAACTTTGTGGGCTGCTCTTTGGTTATGGAAGAGTGTCATGGTTTGATAGGAAGCTAGTTTGGCTTCTGTCTGCTGTCAACCAGAGCCAAATGCTCAATGTCTTGCAGTTGTGGAGAACAAGACAGCAGCAGGGGAGCTCTTAATCTTGCTACTTTTTGCCTCATGTTTCCATGTGCTAAGGGTAAGTGTCTATGAGAATAGGCAGCCAGGTGACCCACATCTGTGTAAGATTGCAGCTGACACCAAGATGACAGTGTAAACTTACTGTTTTATCTTGATGTATCATTTGGTAGAGCAAGATGAAAATACTTGATACTTAATAGATAAGAGTTTTTAAGCTGTGGGGAAGAATTTCATTTGTAGTTCATACTCAAACGCTGTGGTAAACAAAACTCTCAGAAACTGAGCATTACTTAATTTGATTGTGAAACTACTTACTACTATTTCTGGAAACATTGTTTCCTGGAAAATATTTATCATTTGGCAAAGATCCTCACAATTCTCAGGCACGTGTATTTCATTTCAGGGACAGAGAAATGGCTTTGCAATGTGAATACCCAAAACAACAACAAAAAAAAGCTACTGTATAACACAAATTTGTGAGGATCTGAGTTACTGTTCTCACAAATGATTCTGATTTTCAGGGTTACAATACCCTAATTGCTGTCTCCTTTGGTTCTCAAACATAATTAAGAAATACATATAGCAGTGGAAAAAACCCCAAGGGTTTTAACTTATTCTCATAATTATTTGTACAGAATAGCTTTTGCACATCAGCTGAGTGAAGGAACCTTTGAAGAACTGTGTTTACTTAGGATACTGAGTTACAATTCCACAGCAGGAAATTGCTCCTTACTAGTAGGATTATGGAAAGTAGTCCTGCATGGTAAGAACCATTATTTGGCAGGACAAAAATTTGTCCTCTGAAACATTCTAATTTTGTTGGAAACTTCCTAGCATCTTCTTTATGGAGTATGCTGTACTTTTTAAGTGATAAGTTTCATGAAATGGCTCTTGGGCTAAGCATTCTTTATGTATACTTCAACATAAAGAAACTTGAACATTGTCTATTATATGACTCAAAATTCTGAATTTTTTAGTAATGCTGGAAAGAACTTTTGAAGGTTTCAACATACATTCTGCCCTAAGAAATAAAGGACAAAACTTCCCATTAAGTTCTCAATAGCTTACACTTGTCAGTGAAATACTTGCATGAAAGCTGCTTTTTTTCTTTCGTTTTATTAAATGTAAAAGAAATAGAATTTTTTTTTTGCAAGAATAAGGCAACACTGGTATTGTTTTCTTGCTTAAATTTATCTTACATGAACCAATGAGAATCTTCTTCAGTTTTATAATATGTAGTGTTTTATTACTTAAACACTGTTTAAAATTGAATATGACTAAGTTCAGTGTGTCAGAATTAAGCTTTGCATCTCTCATTAGTGCCTTTATTTTTTCAAGTGCTGTTGTCATTGATGTGGTTTGGTGAGACTGATAACTTTGTTTCTGTGTCTCATCTCTTCTCCCTGTTTGCATCCAGTATTGTTGTCCAGATATGGTAAATAACTTTTTCTCGGAAATGGTCAAAACAGAGTGTTTGAGCACAACAAGCAAGACCATTGAATCTGAGAAAGGAAAGCTGATTATGTTAGTTAATGACTTTTATTATGGGAAGGATGAAGGTGACCTCCAGCAGGTACAGCAGGAGCAAAAGACTCATACGACATTTAAATGCATCAGTTGTCTCAAAGTTCTTAAAAATAACATAAGGTATTTGAACTCATTTCCTTAATTATTTGTTAATCACTTACAGTCCGTAGTAGTCTCATGTATTAAAATTTTGTGTTTCTGGAGTAGAGTTCCTTTTGTACTGAAAACTGATAATATTGGGTGACTAAACAGAAATTGAATTAATTTTTACTTTGCATGTATGGCCGTAACTTGGAAGTTTTTACATATTAGAGTGTGAATTTTAGTGGTGTCTAACATAAACATAGAGTTTTGATAAGAGCAGTTGTAGGACTTTGGGCATAAAAAGGGCAACACAAAGGATTTTACAATTTGCCATCTGGATTGATGGTGATATTGGTAGATGCGAGTGTGAATTCCCTTTAGGGACACACAATGACTAATAGTCAGTAGTTCACTTATGTAACATCTGTTATTTTGTTGGAGTAATTTTACTTCCAAATGCTGATAAAACCCCAGTAAGCTGTTTTAGTAGGTAGACAAGTTTGTGTCATCGTTCCTTTGGAAGGTAAGGTCACTGAACTTTTTTACATGCGTTCTTCAAGGGAAGCTGAAGTAGCAGAATGTAAAATTGAAAAATGGACTATTGTTTCAAAGGGCACAGTCTGCAAGTTAAAATGAGCAGGTTTATGCTAACATTAGACACATATTATTGAAAAAAACAAGTTTTCTGTAATTAAAACAATGACATTTGCTATTAATCATTAAATAGGCACTGTTTTCTACTCAGCATTATATTGTAAGCAATTGGTGCTATGGTGCCTATGTGTTCCACAGTAAGTCATTAAAAATGTACGAGCCTTTTATTTTTCTTTAATTTCTGTAGCATTGACTTTAACCATATTCATTTTGACTGTAACCTTGTAGCTTTATTCCATAGTTCTATAACTTAAGAATTTTTATTCCAAAGTCTATTTTGCACTTTTATGTGTAGTGGACAAAATAAATATATTTACCATTCTAATTAAAGTATAACTTTTTTTGACTTAAGTTCAGAAAAGCAGAAAGTGATTCATCATGGTAATCCACTGCTTTCTTTAAAAGATTTGTGGTTGGACATACCATTGCAATAATTTTAAGTTAAGGCATTATGCAGTAATAGTGTCAGTTTCTTTTGTCTGCTTAGCAAACTGGAGAGACTCAGTTGGCTGAGTACAAGCTTGAGCTCAAGAGACTATTCTCTTTGCTCATTTGTTTTTTCCAATTCCAGGGTCTGCATTCCTTTTGTGAGTGTGACTTAGGTTTAACAGTTCTTCTGGCTATACTGAAATAAAGTGCATTCAGAACAGGAATTTTGGAAGTTGAACTGTAGTGGGTTTGTAGGTAACCTGTCCTTGTGCTGCTCCACCAGCAACAGCGATCTGCTGATGCTGTCACGGGTGCCTGGACTTCTCAGCCAGAATAGGTTCCTCCTTCAGACAGGTGCATAGATCAATGAGGAAAAGCTGGTAACTTCAACTAGTACCATAGCAGTTTCTCCTAGTCTTAATGTTGGCTGCACAGAGGCATTTTTGATAACCGTCCTTCATAATTCAATGTCAGGCCTAAATGTGTTAGACAAAGAATGTTCCTGGAATTCCTGCTGTGGTTTCACGTAAAACTGTCATGTCCAAATTCAGATACATTCTTGCTATGTAATAGTTTTCAGCAGAGCTAAAGTTACATGTGTTTCAGAATGGGGTTTTGAGATTGCTGGTGGTGAACAAAGTGTGAACAGTTGCTGTGTTCTTGTCCTCTTTATTTATATCCCTATATTTCAAGGCAAGAATTTTGTCTAAGCAAACATGAGAAATGTAATAGATTTAGTCTTAGAACATGTTTTAGATTTAATGTGCGTTCCTTTAAGTCAAGATTTCTCATCAGCTTTAAGTTTGTTGCCTGTTTTTTTTTAGCAAACAATTACTACTTAATTTTTTTTTAATTGAGACGTCCTTACAGAGTAAAATTTCTAAAGAGTTAGTCAAGATTTCTCATCAGCTTTAAGTTTGTTGCCTGTTTTTTTTAGTAAACAATTACTACTTAATTTTTTTTAATTGAGATGTCCTTACAGAGTAAAATTTCTAAAGAATCCTGTACATCTTGCATATGATATGTATAGGGAATGTTCAAATGTAGATTTTTGCCCCTGTTCACTCTAATGTAAAGGTTTATGAACCACATGAAACATCACTTGGAGCTTGAGAAGCAAAGCAATGAAAGCTGGGAAAGCCACACCACCTGCCAGCACTGTTACCGACAGTTCCCCACGCCATTCCAGCTGCAGTGCCACATCGAGAGTACACACACGCCTTATGAGTCGTCCAGTGAGTTGAATTTTTTTCTAAGCCAAAATTTTTTTTAAATTCCCAACTTTTATTTCCTGGATTGTAATTTCAGAATAAATCTATTGTATTTGAATAACAATAACCTTGAGATTTAATGTAGTAACAGAACACTTTTTTTTTCTTTTGAGAGCAATATATATGCAAAAAAGTATTTTTAAAAGCCTTTGGTTTTTTTCCCGTGCATTTTTTGTTTATTTATTTATTTTTTAATAGAAACATTTACTTTAAGACCTCATGTTTAAGGCCCTTGCCTTACTGGCTTTCTGAAACTGTACAGGGAATTTCTTCTAAAGAGTAGAATAATCATTTGATTTCTTTATCTTTAGTGATCTATACAGTGCATGTATGTGTGTATATATTTTTGTATATGTGTATTATAATTTATGTACATACAATCCCTATAAGATTTTTACTTTTTTCTTGTTTTTCACTTTTTCTAGCGATTTGTAAAATCTGTGAATTATCATTTGAAACAGAGCAAGTTCTTTTGCAGCATATGAAGGACAATCATAAGCCAGGTGAAATGCCGTATGTTTGCCAGGTATCTCAGAGTGACTTTTGTATTTAGATTACACCACTCCCCTGTCTTCACTATCAGTAAACTTGTAACAAAAAAGTCAAACTTCTTATTTTAGGTGTGCAGCTACAGATCCTCAGCTTTTTCAGATGTAGAAACACATTTTAGAACGGTTCATGAAAACACAAAACATTTACTATGCCCGTTTTGCCTCAAAGTTATTAAAATTGGAGCACCGTATATGCATCATTACATGAGGCATCAGGTAAGCAGATCTTTTCAATCCTTAATGCTAGAAAAATGCTAAACACATTTAAGCAATCTCCCTCTGAATAAATAAACATGACTGATTTGTATGGTTGTTACTGGGTAAGAGTAGTTAATAAGAATACATTAGAAGAATTTCAGAAATCTTTGAGGGAATTGTCTTGTTTTGGTGTGATAGCAGCGTCCTGTTTAAAGTAATCTCTGAATATCCTTGGAAGAATCTTGCTGTTTGGCTTCTTGATTACATCTTAGTGATTTGATTCTGCTTTTCTTGAGGTTACTAGCAAACCTGCCACTAGTTCAAATAAAGAAAACATAATGAAGTGTCTTGTAACTGGGAATCTGATTCCTCCTCCTCTTAGTAACTGTACTGCCTTGCACTTTCAAGTATCTAATTCCTACAGGGTATCTTATCTTTGTATAGTATTAGGAGTTTGTTTGTTCATGTTTTAGGAACTGCATGAGCATTGCTTGAGACAGCCTAGGCTAGAGTTTTGTCATGCCATCCATGCTTACTATAGATTGTCATTTGTCTTTAAAAGAAAAAGGGAATATACCGTTGCACTAAATGCAGACTGCAGTTTTTAACATGCAAAGAAAAAATGGATCACAAGACTCAGCATCACCGAACATTTAGGAAACCCAAGCAATTAGAAGGCTTGCCTCCTGGAACAAAGGTGAGTGTTCATGCAGGAAAACTTGAGGGGACAAAGGGAAAGAATAGGTCTTGGTAGAGAAAAGAGAAAGAATAGAAAGAAGTGCTTTTCTCCTTTCTTCTGTGTAGAATATATATGCTTAAAACTGGGTTCACCAGGTTCAGCATTTGAAGGTATGTGAGGAAAACTTGGGTCCCCTTGGAACACTTACACTGTCTTTAAGTCAGTCTTCCATTTCTGAAGAAGGAACTACTTAGACTAGGATTTTCTTTTAGATTTTGGGACTTTTTCCAACAGTTTTTTAGTAGAGTATCAAAATATATGTCCTTTCAGTTGCAAGGAAGAAGAGAAGTTAACATTTTGATTGGCTCTTCACGGTTCATTTGCTGAAGAACCAGGAAGGGAAAATTACTCCTGTTGCTGTTGATTGTCTTGCTTGGCAGAAGGAATGTGAAGCACCAATACTTTACTCTATGGTGATACCTCAATTTTTTAAAGATTCAGGGTCTTTGTGATCTAATAAAAACTTAGATTATGTTAAAATTCGTGTTAGTAGACCTTGACAGGATGAAATGGTAATACTGAAAAACCTGGAACCAGATATAGAAGATGAGGTGCTTCTAAACTAGGAGTATGGGCAAGAAGTGTAATTAGTCATATTGTGAGTCAAAACCACATTTGAGAGCATGACAAAGGAGTTCAAGAATGGCAGATAAGAGGTCAAAAACCAGAATTACTCCCTGGAGTTCTAGCTTGAGAAACAAACATATCTGAAGGGAGTAGACTGGCTCATCATGAGGCAGTAAGACACAGGACTTGATGTTAAATCCAGGCACTGATGCAATGGTTTGATATTCTTCTTAGTAGGATTGATTAGCCTGACACTTCTGCTACATTTTTTTGCGTTTAAGAAAGGAGGATCTAGCCAGTTGCAGCTCTGGAAAGAAAATGTGTTTTGCCATCCCTAACTATTTCAACCAAAATGAACTTTTTAACCATCCAGTTGGCTATTAGAGGTTAACTCTAGTCCAGTGTTTTGTAGTTTTCAAAGTAATCTTTAATAAGGTGAGTTTCTTGTGCTATGATTTGTGCTGTAAAGTGGCTTAAACTTTGAGACAAATAGAAGTAGGAACTTGGAGAGCTTCTATCTAAACAATTTTTTTTTAAATTTCGTACTTGTAGGTGACTATTCGAGCATCTTTGGGATCTCATCAGTCAGGATCATCAGCTACATCTTCTGTTAGTACAAGCAGTTCCACATTTCAGTTATCACCTAAAGCTAAAAGTACAACCACTAAAAACAATAACAAATCTAATACAAGTAAATCAAGAGGAAAATCAAAACAATCTACATCAAGGAAACAAAATACATGGACGAACAGCAGAAAAAAAAAAGAACCTACAAATGTAGTGTTTCATAATCTAAGGTAAAATGCTAGCATTAAAATTGTCTTTAAGTACACTTTGAACATAAATAAATAAATAACTGATCATTTAGTGGTCTTTCAGTAACTTTAATGCTTTAATATAGAAGATCTGGCACCTCAGATTTGCCAAGAAAGCAGATGCATAAACTTCCGACATAATGGTACTGTGGTTGTAATTCTGAATCTTCATTCACTGATTTTGGTGATGGCAGACTAATTTATGATGGAAGAACAAGTGTTTTGCAAACTTCTGTGTCACATTTAGAAATTTTCTCTGCATGGAGCCTTTCTTTTTATTTCTTTTTATTTTTAATTTTTTTTCTATTTTTTTTCTTAATTTTTTTTCTTTTATTTTATTGATTTGAATCTGTTAGTTAAAAGAGAAAATCCTGTCTTTCCTAGGAGAGAGCATTTTGGGGAGCTAATTAAAATAAATCAAGGAAGTAAAAGCAAGCTATTGGGAGAATGCTGTCCTTATCTTGAAAACTTATTGGGGTTTGCTGTCCTTTTGTTATAGTTTTCTTGGGTGTTTTATGGACTGTTTATTACACTGGAGTGTAGTTTCTTTGGTTATGATGAGTTAGCTTTTTTTTTGGTCAGAGATGGAAGATGTTGCCCCTCCAGTTTCTAACTTCTCAGTGTGTAGCTCTGGGAGAGATCCAAAACCAGTCAGCGAAACTGGGGAAGAGAAGGATGATATTCTTGCTTTGTAGATGTTTCCAAGCTTGTGGGTAATCTTGGGGTGACAGAAAAGCCAAAGGCTTTTTCTGTGCATTGTGATGGATGGAAATAATTATTGGAAATACTTCTCAAGTACATAGAGACAACAGCAGCAGCTGAAGTTGGAGGTTCTCATCCACTGCATTATCTCTTGTTTCCAGGAGTGGCCAATAATGGATGCATATATTAACTTTCACCTTTTTGTTAGGATCAAAATTAAATCATAGTACAAGTAAAAGCAAAGTTTTCTTCATTTCTGCTAGTGTAACTTTAAGTATTTAGCTGATGCATTTTTTAAGTTCCTCGTTTTTCCCTAGTATAGGCAAGCTTGCTACTTACTTAAAGCAAAAAGTTTTTAATAGTTATCTCTTCTGAAAGTGTTGCTATTAACTAATAACTTTTTCATGTTACTGTTAGGTATCATGGGGGAACTCACAAATGCATTGAGTGTTTCTCAGAAATAAAAGATTTTGCGAATCACTTTCATGCTTACGTCCACTGTAGTTTATGCAGATACAACACCAGCTGTAGCAAAGCCTATGTGAATCACATGATGAGGTAAGAACTCTTCAAAGTTTTTATTGGCTTTTCCTAAGTTCATGTAAGGTGTGAAGTGTTTGTCAGGTGAATTTTGAACTGGGTCGTCAGACTGGTGGGAAATGCATAAGGTTGGATTTTTTATTTCTTGGCAAAGGCTTAAAGTCCACGTTCTTGTTTTGCTTTAAAAATCCAATGGTCCAGGCAGTATTGTACCTTTGCTTCGGAGTTTCTGTGGTATATTCCATAATCATTTCAGCCTGACTTGGCAAATAATGACTTTGATGTTTTCTGGGTTTCAGACTGAATGGCTCGTCTGATTTTACAAGTGCTGAATGCATACAGGCCACAGCTATCGCTAGTAAGGTCTGTGCTCAGCTTTGAAGGATATCTCAAATAGCAAACTGAAGTGGATACTTTTCCTTACACTACTTCTGCTCATCCACAGAAATAACATCTCATTTTGTCAGCAGTTTTGGGGCAGCGTAGGGCAGTAGCGATGATAGCTGTAAAAAAGCCTGTTAAGAAAACAAATGCATAGTTTTCAGAGCCATAGAATTATGCTATACAATAATTAGATACAGGTCATGTAGCAGTGACAGTAAAACAAAATTTTAAAAACCTACTTGTTACTCCTGTGCTCTGAAGAAGCCACCTGTATTGTGGAAAATAGTGAATGTGATTTTCTTTCTGAATTCATATGCACAGGAAATGCCTTGGCATTTGTAAATGTTAGGATTCTTGAACCTGTGATCTAAGTTTTTAGATACACTGTATTTTGACCTATTAATACCAATTTCAATGCTCATAGAAGTCCTAGGCTGAAAAAGTTTGTGTGCTTTTATGTGTGTAATCTATTGTTGGCATGCTTAAAAAATAAAGGAAATAATGTGCTTAATTCCAACCATACAATTAAAAAAATTACTGAAAGAGGGATCTAAGGTGTATTGTTCCTACTGTTGCCAGTGGCCTGGATGGCAGGTCAAATTCATCTGTGCAGTAGAATTGCCAATCTTTTGTCCTTTGTCCCCTTGATGCACTAATGCATCTCCTACTGTGATCCTTTGCAGCACCTACCATCACCTCTTTGGTGAGTGTAAGGAAAAAGGGATGGTGAAGAGGACTTAGGGGGAGGGTGTTTGTGGAGGAGCAGCTCCTGTACTTGGCTGCCTGCATGTTGTTCCATGGCAGAGAACAGTGTTGGTACATACTTAAGCTGCATAAGAGACAACTTACAGGTTATCTGATAGTTTCACGTCTTGTTGAAAGCCATCTCTTTAGGAAGCACAAATTCAGCTAAGTTTTAGCTCTTTTAGGGTGCACTCTGTAGCTACAGCCATGGTTCTTCAAAAGCTGAATTGCTGATGGAAACAGTAAAATTACGTTCTTCCAGGACTGTTGCCAGTAAAGTGTAGATTTTCTCCTCCCAAGCTCATATACAAGGGAGCCAGTGTTTTAAACTAAAGTTGAGATTCACGAGTTCGTGAGCTGTAAGCAATTTAATGTTTAAGAATAATGCAGTTCAGTATTATTTTTGTGTTTTGTCCTAAGCCAATTGCAGTACCATGACAAGTGAAGGGGTTATGCAGAATAATGTATACAAGAAAACCAGTCTAAGTGGTCATGTTTTCATATATTCAGTTTTCACAGTGCTCGTCCGAGTAAAAGGTTTTGGATCTTCAAGAAGCATTCAGAAGTGCTACGGTAATTCAGTATTTTCACTTACAGATCATTATGGTTTTATTTTCTGATGTTGAACTGATAACTTAGGTTGAGATTGTAACCTCTTGCATTTCCACAATTTAGAGCAGAGAATTGAAACCATTAGGTTTTCCAATAGCAGTGTTCTGGTCAGTGACAAATACTTATTTGTCCATGTTTATGAACTTAATTCTGAGAAGTTTTAATTTTTTTATTAGTAGTATTTTTGATTATTCATAAGATGCAAAATGGGGAGGGGGTCAGGGAAAGAAAAGAAACCACCATCCAATCAGAGAAACTCATGCTCTACAGATAAATTTCTGTCTAAAGTCATGTTCTTTGTACTATATCCAGCATGGAGATGCCCTGCTCATTGATGGGAATTTCCTGATACTAGTTGCAGTAGAAAAAGTAAGATTATGTTTTTGTGAATCATCTGAAGTTGATTTTTTTAATAGTCTGTCCAGTTGCTGTAAGTTAAGAAAAGTGTTTCTATGACCGTGTTGTAATTGCACTTCCTTTTTGATTTTTATTTCCTAGAGGTGTGACTGTAGTGTGTCTTAACTGTGATTTCCTGGCTGATGTTTCTGGCTTGGATAACATGGCCACACATTTGAGTGAGAACCAGACTCATACTTGTCAAGTTATTGTAGAGAAAGGTGAGTACATGTGGTGTCTTTTTATGCAGTATATAAGTATTTACATGTGGATGTCTCTTGTGTTATCACAGTCCTATTTTGAGTTGCATTATTTCTGTACGTGCATTTAACAGTGAATATTTCTGTATTTCCATGCTTTAAAATATTCTTAATTAAATTCTTTGTTTTTATTTTCAGTTTCCACAGATAATACAACTGCTGCACAAGTGTCTCAGTAAGTTTTATTTTACTGCTTAATGTTTTCTTTCTATTAATTTAGTGATAGATGGCCAAAATTTACACTTTCAACTTGGGTTTCTTTTCAATTGCATAGAATTTGAAATGTATGGATGAACACAGGCCTTTACTGTACTAGTGCTTTTTCATCTTACCATGTCCACAACTACAAGAATGAAGAGATAAAACAAGTACCTATTGCAGCTAAAACAAATTCAGTTTGAAGAAAGATAAATAATTATTGTCATGTTGGAACTTCTCAATTCTGACCTGTCTATATACAATGAGATTGTTACCTTCTGCTTAACACTAGGTTTATCAAATTAGTGGTTTATGTTGTTTATGTAATATGAATATGAATACAAAAAGGAATGTCCTTTACTGAAGTAGGACAAGTTCAGTCTTAATATTTAAAAATATTTAGGAATTATTTTAAAAATTATGTTATTCATATGACCAAGGCATATTGGTTTGTATTAGCTTTTTCATTCTGACTTTCAAAGAGGAATTAGTATGTATTAATCAGGGTTTTTTAAGGATTTGAAGAAGAACCTGCAGTATTGTGGAGATTGTGTTTCAGTTTGTGTTAGTTTGGGGTTTTTTAAACCTTAGAAGAATCAGAGATGCCAAGCTCTCCCTGATTATCCTGGAGCAGCTTCTGCGGCCTTATAGTGTAGTTTTTGCCTTTATTCAAGGTTTAGAGGTGTGTCAGTTAAATCAAACACTTGTGTTTTCTTCATACCATTTCAGAATACAGAATGAAAAATGTCAGTCAGACTTCAAAGAAATATATTAAAAGATAAAACAAAATGGTTTAATCCTGATAACCCATCTAGCCTTTAGTAGGATTCTAAAAGAAGTTTAGATAGTCTCATGCATGGTGAGAACTCTTCTAACACAGTGATAAGTTCTTAGGCCTCTAAGCATAAATCAACTTTCACTGAGTTTTTGAGATTTCCCAAATAGATTATTTAATATTAAGTATTTTCTTTCTTGGTTTCCATAAAGTGGCTAATAAGAGGGGGTCCTCCAGTAGTTTAGCTTTCAGTGAAACTCAAACAATGACAAAATCAAGTGTTGAGCTATGATACTTGTGGAAATGTTAGCTTTTGTATTTGGAACTGGCATTAGGTGTTGAGAATGAATGCCTGCTGAAATGTATGGAAGGAAAGGTTATAGATATGTTGAATGGTGGCTGAAGATGTACAGCTGGTACACTAATACAGCTGTGGCAGGCTGTCATCAGTATTGCAAAAGGATCTTGCTGTCTTGAATGCATTGCAGAGACATATGGAAATATGTAGGAATGTTGAATGTATGGATACATATATGTGTCATTTAGAAGCAGATGGGTGAGCACTGAAAAGATCTGAAGTAAAGTCAAGAGTTTATGCAGGTTTGTTTGTCCAAGATGTTAGACAGATGCAGATAGCCATTATTTTTGAGAGTTCTGATGCCGACATAAAATTAGTTACTGGTACCACAAGAAGTGATAGAAAATCAATGATAGTGCTTTTTGAAACTGTAGACTTCATTAATTTTAGTGAATCTTGTCCTGTTCCCTATGCTAGTTCTCTGATACTTGGACAAGAATATATCATTGCTAAACTGAAGAGTATGCCTCTGTAGCAGATATATTAATTAATAATTTGCTGTACAGAGTACAGAAAAATAGTTCATCTTTCTGTGGGCTGGTTCTTAGTGGTACTCTTTGGTTTCTTTGGAAAAAGAGGAACTTGCAGACAATATTTGTAACTTCTGCTGTATAGTTTCTCAATGATCTCTGAATGTTTCTTCCAATTCTTTGACCTATAATTCAATGATTTTAATGGGACTCTTCAGAATCACTTCATCATTGGAAACAATGACTCAGTTATGATCTTGAACACTTTTGGATCTTCTCTTGCATCTCTCAGATGGTATCTTTGGGTGTCTTTTATTATATATTGGGTTGTCTGTATGTGTTTTAAAACTCATCTTTATTGCTAATGATCAGACATGTTCCATGAACTCTGTGTAGTGTTACACAGAGCCTGTCTTTGGACCAGAATCCTGCCATTAGTAATACAGATAACCTAGCTGGGGATATTCCAGCAGAATTTGTTTTCTAAATTTTTATTCTACATAAGTCTCCTTGTTTATTTGGTGATCCACCTTGTGCTGAGGAAGTAAAATTTATTAACTATGTGAGTACTCTTCTAATTGCTCAACTCTCTGCTTTGCACAACCAGTAACATATTTTTAAATGAACTGACAGAAGACATTTTTGTTGCAGGGCAGTTGAAAGTGAGCAGGTATCCTATACTGCCTTGGCTCACTGATACATCATTGTGGACCAGAAAATTGAACCCAGTCCAGCTTGGGATTATTTTGGTATGTAAGCAAACAAGGATCTGACCAGACCTTTTCCTTTTTCTTCATGCATTGAAGCTGTGGTATTCTCTTCTTGCATCTTCTAGACAGCACGTCTGGTCTTTTCTCCAAATATTGTAGTCAAAGGCCTTTTTTGATAATGTTCTCTGCTTTACAGCATTGATTGACAGCTTTTTGGGGGCTGTGCTCTGTTGAAGAGAGGCTTACCAGGAGTGTCACTTACACGGTGCAGTGTTCCCTTGCTGCTCATGTGCGGCATTTCTTCCCTGCTCCAGTCTATCAGTATCATCCCAAGCTAGAGTAGTGAGTAAATGGTGATGTATATGGGCTGACATCAAAGCCCATTTTGTTCTGAACTTGATCCCACCTTCTGAAATTAAAAGGCTTTGTCGTTTTTTGGGTGTTCACTAAAGCATGCAAGAGTCCTGATCAATTTAACATTCAAGTAAGTTACATTTTTTTTTCTGCCAGTGACTTTATGGTATATAGTGGCAAAATATGCTTTCAGTGTCTTCTGTTGCATGTAACTACATAAACTGAGTCTTGGCCAAAGAAATTTATTAGCTGCTTTGCTCTCTGGTAGCTAAGCTTCTTTTTGCTCCAAAATACTGTGAGAGGAGGAAAGCATGTAATGGAAATACATACATTTATTGAGCCTTGATATTGTGAGGGTGGAGCAGCTACAGTTCCAGTTGATTTCACACCTTGTTCTTTTGGGATCATCTCTCTTCTTCAAGGAGGCTCTACTCAAGCTGGTGGGACATTTGCTGCTTTTGATTTTACTGCTTCTGATTTCATCTTCAGTTCTAGATTATCTATGGCAAGTTTATCCATCAGGATATTTGATGAGCTTTGCTTTGCCATGATCAACTTGTAATGTTCCTCCAAACCCAGCCTCCTGTTTAACAGTGGATATGTTTTGGTTGAATCTCTCATTTCCTAGCCTGAAAACAGCATAATAGATACAGCTTACCTCACTTAAGGATCCGTCACTGATACAACTTCCTAGTTGTAAGAATTTGGTTTTGGTGGATGCAAGCTTCTTGATTTGCAGCACTTCCTTTTTCTGAATAATCAAATTCTTTGAGATTAATTCATTTTGACCAGTTTTTTTGTCCTCTTGACTTTTAGTACTCAATCACAGGTCTGGTGATAGTGAGCTTCTGCAGCTGTTTAGTATTGCTAATAATGACAAGGATCCTGTCATCCATGGTCTCTTCCACATATTTTGTGATTGAGCATCTGCACACTTACTCAGTACCCTCAAGTCTTACTCTTTTTGCTACTTTTTTTCCTTCTGACAGAAGCTGTGTTCCATCTTGAATGCTGCTGTTCAGACTCAAGCATCACTTACCTACTACAGGTTTTTCTTGCAGGACTTAATTTTGTTTTGACACAGCAGCATTCAAAAAAGCATAGTGGCTTTGTTTTCATTATGAGCATGCTGTTCATTTCAGAGGAAGTTGAATTCCTATTTCGCTTTCATTCAGGTTTCTGACAACGAGAAGAATGGAATGTGATTGCAGGTTTTGTGGCTTTCAGAAACATTCTCTAAGAATTTCCCAGAGGTGACACTAGATAGAAACTTGGATTTGAAGTTATGTGAATTCTATGTCTTTTATTTTAATGCTTATTTGGAATATTGTCCTTCTGTTCTTTTGCAGCTTCGCTACAGAAATTTAAGTTTCAAACTTGCATTTTAAACACTTCTTAGGGTACTTACAGATACAAGAGATTTGTGGAAATGGTTCATGTAGACTCAATTGGCCTTGTGACATGCTGTTTCCATTTATGTGAGGATCTTGGAAAAGTTACTTTTGTGGAAAACTCATAAAAGCACGTCTAAATCATTAAAATAAACATGCCTGACTTAGTATTAAATCTCTCTTATGATCCCAACAATTTATAAGAATAATGCAACATATTGGACCATATCTGCAAGGGCAGAGCATGAATGTACATGATATATAACCAGTTCAGCTTACGGTCAAAGAATTGAAATTTCATTTGTATGTAGCTTAACCTATCTTTTTTTTTATTTTTAGGACATTGAGTGTCACTGTTTGACTAGCCAGTTATGTTTTATCTTTGTTTGAAAAGTCATGCAAACAAAGTAAATGTTTGTTTCTGGTTTTCTGTTCAATGTAACTGTGTAGCATTTGAAGTTACTTCTGTCAAAATAGGGAATTTTTGCAAGAAGGTGGGATTAATTAAAAAAAAAAGCCGACACCTAAAAATCCCAAATCCAATGACCTTTCCATTCTTTTGGGTGTAAATAAATTTAAACTTTTTAATCTGCATATGATTCAGTTGAGTCTCTGGAAGATACCTTGAGCCACTTAAAGTTGATTTCTAGAAATTCTTGAAACTGCAGTCATCCCAGAAAAAGTTACTTTTGGTTAGGTGTGGACAAAAAAGAAATGTTTGGCGAAAGATTCCAGCTGAGTTCGTTCTACTTACCCAGTGAGCCTTTGATTGTAAGAAAACATGAGAGATTGCTGGGAAGACAGTGGCTCATGATTTGAGCTTTGTGTATGTGTGCAAATATATACAGTTTTATTGTGTGAGACCAGCACAAGCAATGAGACTGAATTCCAGGAATGAGGATACTCCTTTTTGTGCTTA